TTGCTCTTGTCTGGCAAGAGACAGTCCATAATAAATCCCTAGTGACTTTCTTTTTGCTGTGTAATATTTTGTAAGCCTTTGTCATGTGCCCCCTCAACCTCTTTTCCGAACTGACCAGGCCTGGCCTCTTTAGTCTCTCCTCACACTGATGCCCTTCCATAGCACTAGCTGTCCTTGCTGCCCTTCTCTGGACCTTCTCTAGTTCCTCTATGTCCTTTTTGAGGTGTGGGGACCACAGCTGGGCACAGCATTCAAGGCGTGGATGCACCATGGATGTATAAAGGGGCATCATGATACTGCCAGTTTTGTTCACAATTCCTTCTTAATCATCCTTAACACGCTTGCCTTTTTGATGGCTGCTAAGCATGGAGCTGATGCTTTTAGCCAACTATCTACAAGAACTCCAAGATCTCTCTCCTTCAAGTCATTTATTCTGTATCGCACCGAGGCTCCAGGAGGCTGGTGGCAGATGTCAGCCTCTGCGAGCCCACAGACCTGAGCAGCCTACACCCCAAGAGTGACAGGAAGCAGGAGGCTGGCTGGCTGGGAACACCCCTGCGACAACACTACGCACCTGGAGGAGGGCTGCAATTGTGCCGAATGAGTGCCACAGCATTGGGGCCAGGTCAGGCACTGACTCCCGCTTCTTGCTCAGCTCCAGTAGGGCATTCTCGCGGGTCTCGGGGCTGGACAGCTCGTTAATCCACTGGTAGATCTTCTCGCGATCCACCTGAGCCAGCGCTGTTGGCACCGGCTAGATAGGAGACAAAAAAAATCTGTGAGCATGCTGCCTTCTTATCCAATTCAAACCGTGCTCTTTCCATGGGACAGACAGATATGAGATGGGCCATTAGCGTGGCCATGCAGAGAGCCTTGATGTGAGAGGAAGGCAAAGCCTACATTGCTTTTTTAAGGGTAGCAGGACCTGGGGTTAGGGTCTTTCACTGACTAGGACCAATCTTTTGTTACTGCAGTGTCTTTGAACCTCCTGATAAATGTTGTCTAGTAACTTCCTTCAGCAAGCTGCATGTCTCCAGCTTGCCCCAGCAGGGATCTAGGGGAGGTGGGGTTTTAAATCCTCTGTCCACAGGGGAGATAGAGTTGGCCTAAGTGTCTGTAGTGGCACTGCTCAAGCCATGAACGTGACAAAATGGCATTTATGGCACACTTAAAAGGCAAAAAAAAGGAAGAAAGAAAGAAAGAAAGAAAAACAGGGACCTCTGGGGCAGACTTCGCTCTTTTTGTCATCTCCAAAAAACTCAATGTCAGCTTCTCAGTTCATTAAAATTACACCAAAATAAGCTCATGAAAGTGAGGAAACATCCAAAATTATTCCAATATTTGAGTGGTACAGTGGGGCAAACTGACTCTACAACTAAACACTTAACTGGTTGCAGTCTATCCTGTTTATCTTGCTTGTGTTCCTGACAACTTCTATTATATAAACACATATGCATATACATATATACCATGGTGTGTGTGTGTGTGTGTGTGTACACACACACACACACACACACACACACACACATATATATACACCTACCTATACATACATTCACATACGTGTGCAATACGTAAGTGCCCATATCTGCACACGCATGTGCAATACATAAGTGCATGCATTTACATGCACACACATGTGCATATATATATATATATATATATATATATATGCACACGTGTGCGTATGCATGCATGCATACAGACACCTTAAAGGAAATCCTTTGAAAAACTGATTTTTGTGAAAAAAATCTTTTCTGTAATAAGGCAGAAAAGGACAAACATGTATTAACATCCAAAACTGTTTTTCAGACTCCACAGAGCAGTTTTCAAAGCTATTGCTGCACCCTTCCCTGCACAAGGGTAAGTGTGACATCAGGGCTTGCCATATTTCTGGTACAAGAAAAGTCACAGTGGGGATTCCAGATTTTAAAATTCTTTCAAACTTCTGTCCACAGGACCTAAACTTCCACATCAAAACCTCAGCTCCAGACCTGTCCTGGTGCAAAAGCCCTCACAGGGTCAAACTGTGCGTGGCTGCTCTACACCAAACAGGCTGGCAATCAAGCTTAAAAGAATCCTTGCACCTTAACATGCTCCATTGAGGTGTCAAAAATTCACATTTCAGGCTGGTAAGGCAGTGAAAACAATGAAGCTCTGGGGAAGATCTGTCCTAACAAGTCTGGAAGGAGACACGTCACAGCTCCTTGAGGACACTCCCTGCTGCCCTCAGCAGCCACTTCCCAATATTCACCTCTCTCCTCTCTTCACTCCATCCCAGACTTCAGGAATATCCCCATGCATGCCCTAGTTCATTAATACAAACTCTAATTGCTACCTTCCACTCTCCACTCGCTTCTGCACAGTGACAGCACCGAACAGGCTCATTTGCAGCTGTCCAAGATACGCAGCCGGAACAGACAACATGTATATGCCACATATAAGACAGGATAACACACTCCTACACCCTTCACCCAATGCAGTGCAGAACAGCCCCTGTAAAAATCAGAGGCAAAGCTCTGCCTGTATAATTACCCCCATGTAGTTGTCATCTGTCCCCAAGTTATCTTGGGACAGGTGTTTGCTCAAGGTGCTGAAACACCTGCTTAGTGGACGCAGCTATCCCAGGGTGGCTGCACATCTGTCCCCTCCACATGCCAGCAGAATTAAAGGATAAATTATGCCAGTGCAAATGTGTTGTTTGTCCAGGCTCACAACCCTGCCCTGCTGAGCTCCCAAGTCATTCTTCCCTTTATCTTTCCCCATATTAATCCTTCCTTCTTCTCCTCCTGGTCTTGAGGCATTTCAGGCTTATTTTTTTTTTTAGTGTGGAGAATAGTGACACATTCATTCTGTGTTAAGAGCTGAGAGACTAATCCTCTTAGCACCTCCAGTAATGAGGCTTACAAACACTGCAGAGTTTGGTTTGAATGACTGAGCAGCAAGCCCTTTAGCTGGGCTCAAATGTTCAGCCCAATTGTGCCAGACCTGCTGGAAGTTTCAGTTCAAGCTGAATCTTTGAAGCGTTAGCCTGGGTCAGAGATCTCAAGAGAATACTAAATACATTCTCCATGCAATTAAGTTCATGGTGTCCACTGCCCTCGTTAATTAGAAGCAAATTGGTCTCCATGAGCCTTACAGCCTCCCACCGTATTTAACTGTTCCCTGAAACACTCAATTAAGAGTCTTGAGGAAATGTTATTTCTTACATTCCCAAACTGCTGCTTTCCAGGCTACCAGACATTTTTCTACTCTCTACCTAAAATTCAGGGGGGACTTCAATTGGTAGATGCAAATACTCCACACAAATATTCAGATGAGCATCTAGGATCTTCCCAGACTGATTCCTGTTGCACATTTAGCATGCAAGAGTTAGGACATGTGTATTACCACACCCAGGACTGATCACTCCTGGAGTGTTAAAGGCCTCATGATGCTTTTTGCAGGAATAAAGGTGTTCCCCCCAGTTTTTGGGCCAAGCTACAACTCTGAGAGTTACACAAATTCATTTAGACAATTAGGAACCAGAAGAAAAAAAATTAACAGGAAAATAAAAAGGCAGCTCTTTCTAAATGTCCAAGTTAAACATACTGACTGCTTAGAGAAATGCACACCACCAGGCAATATTGTGTCCTAGCTATTTTTTGTGAGATAATTAACACAAGAACCCCAGAATGATCTCTCTAGTTAATAAACGTGACCTAACCTGGGTCTGCTTGCTTGGTGCTTTCACATCCCCTACTTTTACTTCAAGCTTTCCTTCACTAGCTGCTTTCATCTCTACTCCCTAGACCTCCCCACTACTGAGCTATGCTATTTTCAGTTTTGCAGCCTAAATGCTGGCACTGTATAAAAGGCCAGGACTGTCTCATTGCAGCTTTCTAAAGACAATGGTCTTTCTACCTAAAATAAGACTGTTCTGCTTTAGTCCCACTGGACTAAGCCAGGGCCTTCCTCAAGGAAAGCAGCATGTGTTGCAGCCACTAGCTCCCTCCAGATATGGGTGTAGTTAGGTTCCATTTATGCCCCTGTACCCTGGAAAGTATTAAAATATCAAGGTGCAGCTACTTGTGTCAGTCTAAAGTCAAGTAGAAGGGTAGATTTGCACCACACAGACTAACCAAAGCAGATATACAGGATATGACAGACATACTATATACAGTATATGATATACATACAGTATTAGAGTACCTTCAGCACAGCTCTTCAAGAGGACACAATTCTGTCGGGTGCTGTGACCAGAGCACATATCCACTACAAATATTTAAAATCAACTACCACAATATCTTGCTCTCCTCATAGCAGCCAGAGGCGGGTTTTTGGTTGTTTTGGTTTTGGTTTTTTTTTAAATCAATACTGCTTTAAAGTGATTTTGCATCAGAAGGAAGACTAGAAAATAGAATAAAAAGCTCCACCAGCCTCTCGGATATGATGAAAAGCACAGTAGGGATTGCAGTGGATGGCTCAAAGCACTTAACTCCAAACTTGTATGTTTTGTCCTCTACAAAACATCACTTTTGAGTCTAAATATTTAGCTCAGCAACTGACTGACAGCCACAGCAGCAAATCCCATCTGAATGTGATATTCTAACATACGGAACATGTGAAAGTTGCTATAATTAACACCGTGCTTGCTAACAGTTCTGCCAAAGACAAGCAAGGTGGGGGTCTCACCCTTTTAAACGCTTGGAAAATGCCAGCTCTTATTTCTCACTGTTTTTGACTACAGAAAGAGAGCAGAGCAGTTCTGCGGCTGCAAAGAAAGCCCACAGCAGGTCAGAGTAGCTGTAAGCCTATGAATTCCTGTTTGAAATCTCCAGGTTCATCTCGAGAATCAGGATCACACACCTAACAGCGCTAATGCTGCGTGGCCTGAAAGGATCTCCAGGAGCTGCAGCACCTGGCTCTGAATCACTGCTTTAGAGACAAACCGATCCAAAAAAGCAGCGGCTCTCATATGCAGCGGCCGATTGATGCCTTTGATGAACCAGCGTCGGACGCAACAGGGCATCATCTCTGCAACGTCCTGCAGCTCATCTCTAAATACACGCTTGGGGGGGGTTGCCTTTGGGGCCACGGCTTCTACCTAGCATCTCTTGAGCACATTAACAACCTGTTAAAGAAGTAGGTCGGCAGCCGCAGTCCCCCCTGCTCTGCCTAGGGCAGGGCTGGCTGCGAGGCCTGGCGCGGCAATGAGTTTTGCAGACAATTGAGGCAATAGTTTGTCTGGGCTGGTTTGCACAGGGCTGGTCCTGCTTCAGGAAGGGGGTTGGACTCAACCACCACCCCAAACACCATGGACAG